CAGAATTACAATTTTAGAACTAAACAGAGTTTACTATAAGTTAAATATAAAAATTTGAATGATTATTCAAATTCATTAACAGTAAGATTTGAACTTCAGACCTCTTGTATGATGGTCTAACAACCTAACCACTATACTAAGATCACTAACCTTTAAGTTGTTACAATATTATTTTTAGTTAATTTGGGTTGTTAATATAGTATAGTTTTTGAAATTAATTTTTTTTGACTTATAGTTATTTTTTAAAATAAATTTTAAATATTAATACAGTAGGGTACCATATTATTGTAGACACTTTTTAAAACTTTATATTAACTTAAATAAATATTAAAAAGCTTGTTCTAATTGAATTATAAATGATTTAAAAAATATATGTTATATAGAATCTAAATGTTCTGAAATCAGTCTGTTAGAAGAATCATACTTTTAAAATTAGTCAGTTAAATTTTTTCATATATAAACAAAACCATTAAAGTCTCGGTTTCACTGCCACAACTAAGAACTTGTATAAGTCAATTAAAAAATTTATTACACAACCTCCCTTCAATAGCAGATATTCAAGATTATTTTTTAGAGACTTTTAATAAGTTCAACTGTATATAAGGTCTTTGCCTTGAAAATGACATAACGGGACACAGTAAATCATATGATCAAACCTTTATTTTCAAGGCAAAGACCCTATATCGCAGGGAAGCAATTCTACTGACAAAAATAAACTAAACAAGGCTAATCGATCTAGTTGCTAAATCTATAATACCAGCTATAATGAATACATAATTAACCCACGTGTTCTTTGCTAATAACATTGATAATTAAGGGGTGATCAATTTTCCAAACATTTTCACCGCCGCGAACGCAACGTGTTAATCCAAATGGTTTTTCTTCTCCAGGCGTAACAGCTGCAATTTTTAATTCTTTCATAGCAAAATCAAACATTCTAATATCAAAATTATCATCATCCGACCTTAACAATTCTCCAGCTAAAGTTAATACCGCGAGGTCTCCCAATGACCTTGCATAAAAACCACTTGGCATCCTGCTGCTAAAAACTTTTGGTCGTGTATTTTTATCAACTATTTGTGACTCTAAAATTTCCAAAATTTTACCTTCAAATAAAAGTTCATTTCGAGCTTTAATTACTTGAGAAATTTTTTTTGGAACATTCACATCTTCGATGATTTGTTCGTAAAATTTACTACTGATCGAAGCGAATGCACTTCCCATATCAAGAAACGCAATGTAAATTGCACCACCTGGCTTTAGTAATCCGTATAAGAAAGTTACAAAATCTATAATATCTTGACGAGGATCAATTATTAACTTTGTGATGTCGGTTCTAAAACGAATCACAAGTCAAATTATTTCTTTTATAAATTTGGAAAACAAAAGTCAATGATTGTGCATGTTTTGTAGTACTTACAAATAGTAAATCATGTGCATACAATTTATGAAATCAACAGGAACTGGCGGTTTTGGTGATGGTAGAATATTTACATGATGTGTATAATAGTCTTGTACAGGGCCTTGATAAACAATTCCTTCATTAAGATGCTTATATTCTAGTAATTTTTGTTGATAGGCTTTTAATAAAATCGGATTTGGTTCAATAATATGGATAACATTTTTTGTTTGTTTTCCTATATTAACAATTTCTTTAAGTTTCTTTGCAAAAAACCAATCAATAGCTTCTCCTATGAATAATAAAATTGTTTATATGTTAAAAATTGCAAAGAACCCTATTAGCAAACAAAAACATACCAGATCCAGAACCCACATCCAACATATGGAATTCATCAGTTGCAGAAGCATTGTTAATGATCGAGTGCAAAGTTTCGTGTAATGAGGGAATCATGAGTTCACGACTGTCATTGCCCAAAATATCCGATGCAGATTGCAAAACAGTCACACCACGTTTGAATGCCATCATGCGATGGCGAAATACATGTTCAAAAACTTGATTGTTGGTTAAATTAAAAAATTCGGTACGGATGCGGGCTTCAGCGTCAAGTTCTTCTTGAGATATTGTAAAAATTGTATCCTTTGACATTGTTAAAGAATAGGTATATAGATGTTTAAAAAAAACTCCTGAATACATCGATATCTTATTTCTATCAGTCACGTGGTTTAACCGGATATGGGTCGGTTCCATTCTTGATATCCATATATAAATAAACTACCCTAACTTTACCAACCCCAAAAATTGGTTTAATTCTGGTCATGCATAATTCCAAAAACATGCAATAAAGCATAACCTTAAGATGGAATTAAAGCCTACCAATTTTAGACATCAAAATTATCGAATTTACGCATTGAACCATTCATAAGCTATCTCGTGTATTAGACAGCCTTCTTGCTTGCCTGCAGTGTTTAACGAATTCGAGAAGTTTATCTCAATAATTTACTAATTACTTTTGCGGCCAAGAACCGCTGAAGGAACAATATTCATCGTAAAAATCTACAGAATAAATAACTGATTGGATCACGCGAAATTATGTGAATTTCGACTTGACGCACGACACTGCAAGCTAAATTATTTTGAGAGTAATTAATTATTATGCGTATAAATCTCAAGTGTCACAGAGATTTTCACTTCGACAAAATAACTTTTAAAGAGGATGCTATCTGCAAAATTTAATGAACCAGAAAAAATTCACTTTTCGACGGCTATTCTATATTTTAAAAAGGACAATTCGTCCAAACAATAAAATCACATCTACCTTCCCTTATAATTCCTCTACTTTGCAATTGACATGGCGAACTTCCGATTATCAAGAAATTCATCTAGCACCTTCCGCCTTTCCTTTTTTTCATTACAGTCTCGTTTCGCCATTATTTTGCTTCTTAGTATTACTTTACTTGTTGATGCTCTTAGTATTTCTGTGCATATTGATACGGGTAGGATTCATAAGAATCATAAGATTCATAAGAATAAAAGTAAGACATAGTAATCTTTTAAGCGTTCTTGTCAGCAACACTCTCACATTATTATATTTTACTGCATTAGTGCCAAATACAAAAAGTAATTTCTCTTCTAGTAACCTATGTGATCCTAATGTGAAGCAGGTATACATTAAAGGATACCTTGTTTAGAGAATTCAATGTAAATTTTGACTAAATTCGATACATTAATAGTATTCCGGTTATATACAACCTTCTGATGGCGTAAACATGTTCTTTTGGTTCTTTGAATCGCGAAATAATCCAAGCAATTCGCCTCTCACTTTATATCTTAATGGTGGCCCGGGGTGTTCTTCAATGATTGGACTATTTCAAGAGGTGGGACCTTGTAGATCTAAACCAAACGGAACTGACACTTACTTAAATCCTTATAGTTGGAACAATGTTTCAAATATATTATTTGTTGATCAGGTATGCCAAATTCTATGCTACGTTTATAATAAAAGTTTTTTACGTACTGTACGTACCGGATTTATACATAGTCAAGATATGTATAAATCTAGATTTAAATCTTATCTAGATCGAAATAACCCATTTTTCATATATTATGCCAGCCAACTGGTGCAGGATTTTCGTATGGCGGGGATTATGTGACATCAACGACGCAAGCAGCGTCCTATCTTTATGAATTTTTGGAAAGTTGGTTTTCTAATTTCCCACAATATGCGAGCTTGGATTTTCATTTATTTGGTGAATCTTACGCAGGTCATTACAGTAAGTATTATGTTCCTTTTTATCGTACGGTTTCAATTATCCGCAGTATGCATGATAACTAATTGTTTATTTCATTTGCTGTGTTTTAGTTCCTGCCTTAGCAAAATTGATAATTAATAATAAGGCGATTCATCTCAAGTCCATTGGGATTGGTGATGGATTGATTGATCCTGTAAATCAATAGTATGATTTCTCGGATATTTATTTTAATTATATTATTCAGTTATATAACTTTATTGACAATTCTATTTATT